CGACAACATGCTGGAATTCGGCGGGAAAATTGCTAACTCGGAAACCAGAAAAGCTGGAAGGTTGAATTTTTAACGGAATGTTCCCTGTCCAAGTACAACTTAAAGATTTCAAATTCAACCCCCAAATTCAGCCTCGTACGATAAGCTTGTTGGTTTTTGGCTTCGTCGACAACATGCTACATTTTGGCGGGAAAATTAGACTAACTCGGAAATCAGAAAAGCTGGAAAGTTGAAATTTTAACGGAATGTTCCCTGTCCAAGTACAACTTAAAAATTTCAAATTCAACCCCCAAATTCAGCCCTGTACGATAAGCTTGTCGTTTTTTGGCTTCGTCGACAACATGCTGCATTTTGGCAGGAAAATTAGACTAACTCGGAAATCAGAAAAGCTGGAAAGTTGAAATTTTAACGGAATATCTCTTGTCCAAGTACAACTTAAAGATTTCAAATTCTGCCCCGTACGATAAGCTTGTCGTTTTTTGGCTTCGTCAACAACATGCTACACTTTGGCGGGAAAATTGTTAACTCGGAAATCAATAAAGCAGGAAAGTTGAAATTTTAACGAAATGTTCCCTGTCCAAGTACAACTTAAAGACTTCAAATTCAGCCCCTAGATTTAGCCCCGTATGATAAGCTTGTCGTTCTTTGGTTTCGTCGACAACATGCTGCATTTTGGCGAGAAAATTAGACTAACTCGGAAATCAGAAAAGCCGGAAAGTTGAAATTTTAACGGAATATCTCTTGTCTAAGTACAACTTAAAGATTTCAAATTTAACCCCCAAATTCAGCCTCGTATGATAAGCTTGTCGTTTACGGGGACAAGTTATGCTCAAGGGTCAGTGGTAGGAGTTTGTGAGGGGGGAGGGAGCACTGGGCCCCGTTCACAAAAATATTTGAGTTTTTGACCCGGGTAGAAATAAACGAAACTTTATGGCAGTCTCATATAAATATTTATTAAAAAATTAAAGAAAAAAAAATCTTGAATTGTTATACGGTTTTATGTACAATCCTATAGCCTTCGTGAAATTATTTCACAAAGCCCTAAGCTAGAACGCACTAGGCTTGCCGATGTGATTATGCGTTTTTGAAAGTAAACCTGAAACAATTCAGCGGTTAACTGTATGAATGGTTGTTGCTTTACACTTGTCTTGTAACGCTCACTAGCGTAAATCATCGTAAATTTTGCATTTTGGAAAAAATGAACATTTCCCTTTGAGTGGTCATTTTTTGAAAATGAACTAGCTGTTCAGTGAGCAGTTTTCCCACCAAAACTTTTAAGTGTCTTTGCGGGGCTGAATCTGGTTGCTGAATTTGAAATATTCAAGTTGTACTTGGACAGGGGAAATTTCAGCTTTTCCCACTTTTCTGATTTTCGAGTTAGCGTTTTCTCGCCAAAAATCTTCATATGCCTGTGCGTGAGAGCTACGCACAGCTGGGGACTAAATTTGAAAACTTTAAGTTACACGTAGATTAGGAACATCCCCTTAAAACTTCAGCCTTTCAGCTTCTCTGATTCCCGAGTTGGCAGTTTTTCCACCAAGAATTTTTCATGCTCATACACTGGAGAGCTGATATCGCCGTTCTGGAGTAGTACTTGGCCGGGGAACCAACAGGCAAAATCCCAGCACCGAAGCTTGCTTAGTTGCCGAGTTCAAATATCCGGACAGACAGACACACACACTCATGCACACGCACGTACACACACACGCACTCATGCACGTGTGTGTACGTGCGTGTGCATGAGTGTGTATATATAGATGCCATGGATAGTCACAGTATGCGTTTTTGCATTTGCATATATGCATAATTAGCCTGCTGTCGTGTGAAATTTGCATACTGAAAACTAAAAAGCATTTCCATATATAAGCTGCAAGAGCTGCATTGCTAGTTATTGTGTGCGCTTGAGCTTGTGCGTGATGAGGCATCGTTTAGCACGTATGGCAACGAGACGGGGTTCGCGTAAATTTAATCGTTCTGCAGCAGGTGGATTGGTTGTTTGACTTTTTTGAAAAAATTTTCTGATGGAAAAATGCGGTCAGCGGCGGAATTGGGGGGAGGGGAGGGCTAGGGCATCTCTCTTTTTTTTTTCAAATTTTCAGGGGGGATTATGCTTTCAGGCATGTTAGGGGGTGGCCTGAACGGCGGGGGCATGATGGATGAGGAGATGCGTCGATTCCCGCCGCATCGCGAGCGTGAGCCACATCACTATGAGAATGGCATGGGCGAGCCCCACATTGGTGGTGGTGGTGGCCGCGATGCGGATGACTATGGTGGTGGTGGTGGTGTTGGCATCGGCGGGCATGGCGAAGGTCAGAAACATCAGGGAGACGATTTTGGTTATTTTTTCTAAAACACAACACTCGGGGTCGGGAAGGGGAAATTTTTGAATTTTTTTTTCTTTGTAATTTTACTTCACATTATTGAGGGGTCCAACATCTGATCTGGTGTTGTTTATCTCGGTGTGTCCAGGAATGGTGCCGGGCTGACAAGAATTCCTGCACCGGAGAGTCTTGAAAACGTTGAGCAGGAAAAAGGGATCACAAAATGGAATTTGTATTATTATGCGTTAGTTGCCAATGCAAAATGTGATATAAAATTTTGCAATATTCATAAAATACACAGGCGAGAATTAAAAAAAAAAAAAAGAAATTAGAAACAGCGGAAATTAAAAAAAAAAAATTAGAAGCAGCGAAAATTACTGTCGCTTTGTTGGTTCCTGGATGTTTAGGAAGAGAATTACACCGAATGAGATTATGTGAGTTTGATTTGAAAGCTATCAGGAATTTGACCGCGTTAACGGAAATGACCAATCTATGCGCAATTCATATATGATCGGCTCATGTCGGACACTCAAAAGTGCTGTCGACGTGTTTCTAGGACACTATTTTTGGGAGTAAAAACTATCGGCGACATTATATATTAACCATTAATTGCTTTTGGCAACGTGCCAACTCACAAATTATGCAAGGATTTTAAGATTTTTTTTTGAAAAATCAGATAGAATGGGGGCTGATACGGTATTGAAATGACCGGATATGTAAAAGTGGCGATGACAGAACGTTTTTGAAACATTAAAAAATGCGAAAATTTGCAGCAAGCCAAATGCTTTATAAATGTATAAAAATTGGTGCAAGCATTCAGCGCTTTAATTTT